AGAATATATCTTTTACGATTTCCTGATTTAACCAACTTTTTCAATGAACTGACCAATTATCGATTTCTAATTACATTGGGTAAGAATGCACCTACTTGGTAAAATTAAAAGCTGACCACTACATCAGTCCCTCTCGATCTAAAAAATTATGGGTACATGAGATCAACCGCTTCTAGCAGTCTAGCCCCTCCAAGGCTGAGCAGCTATGAACTCCATCTTCAAGGTGTCAAGCAAAGGCAGCCTTCAGCCTCACTTCAATCCAACATTTATCTTAATCAGGTATTTTGAAGATTATTAGCCCAGTATATTTTTCTCCCTCAACTGTCTCTCAAAAAGGCTCTGTCTTCTGAAAGCCAGTAATATGCACATAGTTCTCAAAGGGAGACTGTCCAAACCATACTATTTTTATAAAGTGGAATCTTTAAATATTAATAATTCAAAAACCAAAGGAGGGAAACCCCAGCAACGTTAGGCAGGCTATGAATAGGTTCAGTCAGGGCTGAGTGGTTAAGTGTCTTGGAGTTTGTCTTCACAGAATGTGCTTTCCTGGAAACCATACAGCAAAATAGTAAACACCACCCCCACTCAGACCATAGGAACCCTATCTGAACTCTCTCTCCCTTGCAATAAGGGTGCTGGTCCAGCACCCGAAATACGCCTTGGCAGAGACCTTATGGAGCAGCCGGACATGGCTGAGACAACGCCAACACACCAATCTTTAAAGATTATGAAATAGCTTCCTTTCAAACCTCTTGCATATGTTTGCCTCCCTTCCCCCACCCCTGACTACTTCCCCAGCGCTCTCTAAACTTTAGCTGAGGCTTGAACAGATTGGGCTGGATTTCAGGCAGATTCCTGCAGTCGTGACCCAAGCCCTAAAGAACCTGAACGCTTCCGGCAAGCACCACCCGTCGGAAGTCTGCCCTGTCCAGCTGTGGAATGGACTGGACGGGTTTCACAAATGTCACGGGCTAGTCAACTCCATCTGTGAGGACATGAAAAGGTCTCTTTTCAGACAGCCACCAATCCGAATGGCTGGAATTTTGGGTAAAAACATGATATCCAGCGATATATGTGGTAGATGCCTTTTTAAAAGCTTGAATAAGGCAATTACAAGTGATCAGAGTGGATCTGTCTTTCTAAGCTGATTTGCCCTTCCTCACCTCAGGCAGGCTGCCAGAACCTTCCATCTCCAGCCCATATCCACCATCCAGATAAAGGCAGAAGCAGCCAGACTCCTCCAGCCGAACCAAAGTGAGCTGAATTCTAGTCTTCCCTGTGTTTCTAGATTTATGTTGAAAGTTTCACGGCAGTATTCTTCACTAGCATCTGTGACAGATTACCAGAAAAGATGAATTCCTTAGTATCCAACACAAGCATGTACATATAGATTCTGTTTGGTGCTGGCTGCTTAAAAACTCAGCAATATGGGCCGGCTCTGTGGCCGAGTGGTTGGGTTCATGTGCTCCGCTGCGGCGGCCCAGGGTTCGGATCCTGGGAGTGGACATGGCACCGCTTGTCAGGCCACGTTGAGGCGGCGTCCCACATCCCACAACTAGAAGGACCTGCAACTAAGATATACAACTGTGTACAGGGCGGGTTTGGGGAGATAAAGCAGAAGAAAAAAAAAAAGATTGGCAACAGTTGTTAGCCCAGGTGCCAATCTTTAAAAAAGTTTTTAAAAATTAAAAAATTAAAAAAATTAAAAACTCGGCAATAAAGCCACTTTATGCATAATAGTTAAAATGGCACAGTGACGCACTGGCCCAAGGCTTTCCCTTAGGACTTTTATTCCTATATTTCGACTCACTCTAACTTTGCTCTGCTTTGAGCTTTTCCATTCAAAGATCTCTCTGTAGGCCCTTCTTGCTCTGTAAATCCTGATACAGCCTGAGTTAAAAACAGTCCCACTCTGACGCAACCAGCTTAAATGACCAGCCCAAGAATGTGTAAGCTTTCTTGGGCTCGGCAAATTCCTCCAGGATGGCAAAACCCTTGAGATTCAAAGGGATCGTCTTTCGGGGATTGGGAGCAGGAGCAAAGAGCAGCGCATGCTGGGATGGCCATTCACCAAGGCCACGTCACCCAGACCACTTGGGGTGTCCACAGTTGTGAGAAGCCAGGCTACCCCAGGACACACAGATAATGGCCCATTCAACACTTCTGCAGCCCCCATACCTGCTGGGGCACTTGCCTGTGACCCCAGGCATAGCTTGTCATTTCTTCCCAAGCCATGACTCCTTTCCCTGACACTTTATCCCAGCCCCCACCAGAAGAGACCTAAGTGAGGTAAGAGACCTTAGTCCTCCAGTCGGGGAGAACCATGGCTCTTCGCGTCTCCCCTGGTTTCAGGCTGGGAGAGGGAAGTCTCTCCACTTCATGCTTCTGGGAAGTCGATGCTGAAATTCCTTCGGCTGCCCGGGTGGCCCAGTACTCCCTTCCTAGAATGATGGACACGGGTGCCCATGCTCCCGAAACCTTGCTCTGGGTTTGCAAGTCTGAAGCATCATGTTACTTATTCATTCCATCAACATATAAACATTCAAGAACCCACCACGTGCCAGATGTTAAACTAGGCACAGGGGTACAGCAGTGAAGGAGACAAAGCCCCCACCTCAGGCAGCCCACAGCCTAGCGGAGAGGGGGAAATGATAAACCTACATGCCAGTAAGTCAGTAAGTTAGGGAAGTAGAAAATGCCAGGAGGGAAGTAAAAGACGGCAACGTGACAGAGGGGAATTCGGGGTGTAACAGGGGCTACTGCTGTTAGCATGATGAGGGAAGGTCGCTCTGAGAGGGGACGTTGAGCTGAGACATGATGATAAAAAGAAGCTAACTATTCACGTATCTGTGGGAAGAGCTTTCTGGAAACAAGGAAGAGCAAGTGCCAAGGCTCTGAGAAGGGAGCAAGGCTTATCTTGTCAGAAGAAAGGTCAGAGTGGATGGAGCAGAGCAAGTGAGAGGGAGGCAGGGAAGACGGGGTCAAAGGAACAGGCAGGGACCTGCGGATCCTGGGGCTTTGTGAGCTGCGGTAAAAGGCACCAGAAGGTGATAAGCAGGGAGTGATCAGGTCTGTGCTTGAAAAAGTTCACTCTGGCTGCTGGGAGGAGAATGGACTCGGGCAGAGGACAAAAGAGAATGGACTCCAGGCAGGGGACTGGATGGTTGCCTGGATGAGCCAGAACAGGATTTAGGACATATTCTGAAGGGAAGGCTGCCAGGACTCTAGAATAAAGACAGTAAGCCCAGCGTCTGTAAATACTTGCTAACCATCCCTGTGTGAGGGATGTACACACACACACACACACACACCCATACACTGTCCTCCTTGTACACATAGCGCAGGGTGGTGGCCCAGACTCCAGATTCTGGAGCCAAAATGCCCAAGTTCAAATCCTAACTCACCCACGTCCTGGCAGGAAAACTTGGTAAGTCATTGAACCTCTCTGTGCCTCGATTCCTCATCTGTAAAATGGGGACAATAAGAAAGGTGCCCTCAAAGGGTTGTCGTGAGGATCAAACGAGGTACAGCAGGTAAAGCATTTAGGGGAGGGCACCTACCACATAGTGTATGTTTCCTGCTGCTGCTGTAACAAATTACCACAAATTTAGTGGCTTAATTAAAACAATACAAATTTATTCTCCTACAATTCCGGAGGCCAGAAGTACGAAATCAGTTCCACTGGGCTAAAGTCAAGAGGTCGGCAGGGCTGGTTCCTTCTGGAGGCTCCAGGGGAGGGTCGCTTCCTTGCCTTTTCCAGCTTCTAAAGGCTGCGGCGGTCCTCGGCTCTGGCTGCCTCACTCCAACCTCTGCTTCCGTCATCTTGTGAACTTCTTACGTCCCTCTTGTAAGGACTCTTGTGATTATATTTAGGGCACATCTGGATAATCCAGAATAATGCCTCTCCCTCACATCCTCACCTTCAGTACATGCGCACAGCCCACTTTGCCACAGCAGGTAACATTCACAGGTCCTGGGGACTAGGATGCAGATAATTTTGGGGGCCACTGTTCAGTCCACCATACATGGTAAGCAATAAATTAAGGTCGATTACTGTTATAATCATTATCGCTGCTACTTCTCCCTCGGCAGCCCCAGAGCATACCCCTAGCCCCTCCCAAGCTGTGTGGGAGAGGGAAGGATGTGGCGAGATCCCTATCTATCTTCCAAAAGCCCCCTGAGCCCAGGTCAGAGCGGGAGGTGATGCTGGCTGGATGAGGCAGAGGCCTCAGTCACCGGTTGAATCCATGAGAGGACTGGGGACAGAAGGTAGACAAGGCAGTAATGCATCCACAGACCTCAGGTGGGGTTGGAGAGGGGCCTGGAGCCCAGGCTAAGGCTTCCTGATGGTGCTGTACTCCGTGGGCTCCGCGTGGCTCCCACTGGGACTGTGTGCAACGAGATGGCTTGTGTTGCTGTAGGTTGGTTCCTGATCCAAGGTGTCCAAAGACAGAGCTGGATAGGAAATGTCCTCCCTCGGAATGGAGTCCTGCAACAAAGATGCCCTTGGCTCAGAGAAGCTGGCAGGAGGCTGTGCCCACCGATGGAGGAAGCCTCGGGTGAGGCTGCGAGGATAGACCCTTCAGGGCTTCTGAAGTCCACTCCCAGGTCCTCCAGCTCCCCCTCCCTCCACTCTGCCAGGCACCCTGAGCTCCACGCCAGGGCAACACGTTTCCCATGGGATCCCAGGAGAAGGTCACTCGGCTTATCTGGGTCTCCCCTGCCCAGCACAAAGGCCACGTTTGACCTATCTCTGAGTCCCCAGTGCTGATACCTGGTAAGGAGACACTTCCAAAAGCCAAAAGCATGCGGGACCTCTACAGGCAAGTCTATCAATGGCTGTGGCTTTTCCCGGCACCCACTTTCCTCCTCTGCACCCACACGGGCGAGAGAAAGCCCATCCTCAAAAGGGGGGCAATGGCAGGTCTGGCTCCAAGCCCCACAGCAGCCCCACCAAGTACACACCATGGTGACGTATTCCCCTTCCACCTGGTCCACCTGGGCAAAGTAGGAGGGTTTTCTGGAGGCCTTCTTCCGAGAGGGGCCAGAGGAGGTTCCCGTGTGCTGCAGGGTCAGGTTCGCATAGCAGACGTCACTCTCTAAGGGCTGGAGCACCTAGGAGAGGAAGCACAGGTTCCTCTTTCACCGTGGAACCAAGTCTGTCTGCTTCCCTGGGCACCCCTCTCCCAGCTTCCTCCCAGTCTCCCTCGCTGACCCCTCCCAGCCCTCCTCCCTTCTGGCAGTTTCCAGCATGCCCCACCCCATCCTCCCAGGGCCCTTTCCCAGGCCCTGCAGCTATGCCTGGAGTATATGGACCCTTTGGCACGTGGTTTGTCTGATACATCTGGACTTCGGTGCTCCTGGGAGATGGAAAATGAGAAAGGAGGGGAAGAGCTGTCTAGTGTCTCTGATACGACCTTGAGGACTCTCTTACCTGTTCTTGGGATATCTCAGGGGCTGAAAGGCAAAAACAATCAGAATTAGAAAGCCCCTCAGGTCTGGGAAAGAGCTGCACGGAAGAAAAGAGGTGAATTAGGCTCCAGGCTCAGAGAGAGGAGACTCAGTTCTAATTCTGACTCCTCAGATGACACCCTCTGTGACTTTGGTCACTTCACCTCTCTGAGCTTCCATTTCTCCACCTGAGAAATAAGGAGACCTCGGCCCACCTGTTCCCCACATCACAGAACCGTGTGATCAGCTGGTCAGGTGGCCCTGCCAGCCGTCAGCTCCCCTGGGATTAAGTTTCCTGCTGCACAATCCAGACTCAGCCTGTCACTTCTGCTGGAGGCCCCACCTGTAGCCCCACTATTGCTCTACCTGGTTCGTCACTAGGGACTCAGCTCAAAGTCAACCTGCCTTCCCTGGCTGCCCGGCGGTCTGCTCCCTCCCCGGCTCCCAGGGCACCTGATTGACACTGGCTCATCGCCTTTGTCCCACTGAATTCTGGTTAGCCTTCAGGTGGGCAGCGAGCTGCGGGCTGCTGGGTGGCTGAACCCAGGCCTTCCTGGCATTCCTAGTGCCAGCTGTGCCTGGCGCATGACGACACAATCAGTGAGAGTTGTCTGTGGAGATAGGATTGCTCCAAGCTGCCCTCCCAGTGGAGGACGAGAGCTGGGAGGGCACAGCGTGGACCAGCTTTCAGGTGCTCGCTGGTTCTTGTTTCTTTTTGGCTCCCCTCCACTCCTTCCTGCTCCCTCTTGCTCCCTGCTTTAGAGACAACAAAGAAACAAGAAGTCTCTCCCTTGGTTTTTAGTTTCAAAGGTCTAGATACCGAGGAGCACAGAGTGTACTTAGAACTTAGGTCACAGTTGGTACAACGGAGAAAATGTAGTAAACAGGAGTCAGGCTCCCCTCCTCCCAGACTACAAGGCTCCCCAGGCTGCAGGGGGGCAGTGTGGGAGACGTCCCCATGAGAGCTTAGGTCCCAGTGGGTTCTGAGAAGGGGAGGGGGTGCAATCAGCATGAGAAGGTGGAAGTGGAGCCAGACAGGAAAAGAGTTTGGTTGAGTCCAGAGCTCGTGACTGATGGGTGTGGGCTCGTGAGCAAAGAGGCTCTTCCCTCAGGAGCAGATGTTCACAGGACCAGCTCGTGGCCTGAGAAAGGGCCGGGGCAGAGGAGGAGCAAAAGTAGGAGTCACAACCCACCTTTCTGATCAAACCCAGAGGACTCTGTGGCGTGTGTATCTGTGCTCATGTGTGCATGTGTGCACATGTGTGTACATGGGGCGGGGAGGGCTATGTTGCATGTGCATACATGTGCATGTGTTCATTCCTCTGTGTGTGTATGTGTGCGCACGTGTGTGTGTGTGTGTGTATCTGTGTCTCTCCCTGCCTCCATGTCAGCTCAGCACATCCTTGGCAACCACACAAATTCCACTGAAGTGTCTGGGCACCCTAGATGGATTGCCTGCCTAAGGCCATTGCCACCTCTGCCACCAAGAGCCAAATCAGGAAATAGAGAGGGAGGTGGGTCAGGAAGAAGAGAAGAGCAAGGAGGGATGTGTGGGTGGACAGTGCCAAAGCCCCCTGGGCTCAGCTACGAGCTCCAGGCCTCCCTCCAGCCCCTCTTCTGCCAGCTGCCAGTGGCCTTAGGGACAGTGCCCTCCAGATCGTGTGGGTAATCTCTTGGCCAGATGGCTCCCGGATGACAATGCCGGCCACTGGCCCCACACACTTCCACCCAGCCAAGCCCCAGCCCAGCCCCAGCCAGACCAACTCACCTTTCTCCCGTTGCTTCACCATTCTCCAAGCCAAGAGTGAAGCCGCCACCGAGAGAAGCAGCAACACCGCAAAGATGAGGGGAATGAGGACGCTGAGCTTCAGGGAGACACTGCTGGAAACAACAGAAGACACGCCGTGCATCCCGGTTCCCCTCCTGCCTTTGGGCCTTATCCCACCCACCCGCTAGCAGGGAGGGCCACACACCTTTTGACCTTTTGACCTGCAGGCTCGTGGTTTCCAGCCTGGGGACGCCCGCTCCTGGGTGCCCTCAAAGATGGTTTTTTAAAAAAGGAGAGGAGGGCTCCACGAGGTAGTTTCAATGGGGCTCGAAGCCTCATAGAAACTGTATGGCGACAGGTTCTGAAAAGGTCCCCCGAGTCCTACACTTGCCCCCTGTACTAGGTTGAATAGTGTCCCCCACCCCTATAATTCCTGTTCACTCAGCACCTGTGAAGGTGACCTATTTGGAAATGACATCTTTACAGATGTAATTGAGTTAAAATGAGGTCATTCTACATTAGAGTGGCTCTAATCTAATGACCGGTGCCCTTGTAAAAGGGAAATTTGGGCACAAGGACACACAGGGAGAAGTGCATGTGATGACAGAGGCAGAGATGGGAGTGATGCTGCCACAAGCAGAGGAACGCATGGATTGCTGGCAACCACCACAAGCTATGAGCGAGTCAGGGGACGGAGTCTGCCTTATAGACCCCAAGAAGGAACCAATCCTGCCGAGACCTTGATTTCAGGTTTCTGGCCCCCTCAGCTGTGAGAGCAAGTGGAAAGAGCCCCCAACATCCTCAATCTCTCAGAAGAAACTGAGGGTTCAGAGACAAGGTCTGGCCGGGACCTGGGACCACAAAGAATCCCCCATTAGAGAAGTTTGGGCCAAGTGGGCACAGGTGACAGCAGCATCAGAGCTGGCTTACCTGCTCTCGGAGTGGTGGCTGGTCACAGTTGGGGAGACTTGGATCTTTTCTGGGGTGACTGGTGCTGTGGACATGGTGGTGGTGGTCGACACTGTAGTTGGCGCTGGGCATACAGACCAGATTACACACTACTCTGCCTGCTAACACACCTGCAGCCCTGCACGTGGCTCTGAGTCTGGGGGCCTGAGGGCTGCCCTGGCCTGAGGAGCCTGGAGCAGGGCCATGGGGAGGGGCTGATAGCCTGGACCGCTCATATCTCCATGGCCTCCAGGAGGCGCAGAGCCTCAGAGGCAGGTGGGGCTGGGCACGGGTCCAGGGAGGACGTTGAGCAGGCCCTGGAAGGTGAGAGGGGGCCCTGGATGGCTCAGGACGAGGGAGCTGGAGTTCAGCTGGACTTAAACATTCCTGATGCTCATGACAAGGGCTCAGCCAATGCGTCACCCCGTCTTATCTATCCAGCAAGGACAGGAGCACAATAGGGGCTTGCCCAGTGGCCAACACATGCAAGATCTGTGACCTCTAAGGTCAGGACCAGCCCTGAACAAAATCATAAGGTTCAGGAAGAGCCTTTACTTTGGGCAAGTTATTAACCTTCCATAATGGGCACGGCTACTTCTCAGGAATATTGTCAGGATTCTATGAGATGACGACTGTGCTGCGCTTTGCCAGTACAACATGTCTCACAGGTTCCAGGGGTGGCGGCGACCCTGTGACATGTGCTCCCTCTTTGCCACAAGTGTGCCATGAGCTGGTACTGCCTGTCTGAGGGTCAGCAGAAGCAGAGCCCAACAGAGGGACTTGTGAAAATTGAGGCACTGGGACCTCTGAACTGCCCCTCCCAGGAGTGCTTGCATTCGAGAAGGACTTAGGAAGAGAACATCACTAAGTCCAGACATGTGAATGGCTCGTGATGGGATTTCAGACACCAGAAATGCAGCCTTTCGACTGTGGAGGTCTTTCCAGACCTCAGCAATTAACCGCAGCACCCAACTGTGCTGGGCCTCTTTCCCCCGAGACTGGATATGGAATGGGGACAGCAGCTATGAAGTCCCAGCCCCAAACTCCACAAAGAGCAGGGACATCTGAGCTCTAGAGGTCCCAGAAGAGCATTGGCAGTTGTTGGGTGGGGTCTCTGGGTCCCATGGAAGAGGGTGCCTTTGGCCCATGGGCTGAAGCTGGGACCATCGCCTTGATCTCTACAGGCAATAGACTCAGCACTGAGCTGTGCAGAGGAAAAGCATGTGCCTAGAAAGGATTGAGCCCATCCTGGAGGAGGCCCTGGGAGCCAGGAGAGCATCTAGAGAGGCCCTGCCCCTCCCGATCCCAGGCGGTCAGTCAGGGAGACCTCAGGACTCAACTGCCCTCTATGACAGTTTACTCTGACCTCAGGGACCAGAACAGAGCAGTCCCTGAAGAGACACATCCAAACACACACTCTTACCTGGGTCAATGGTCACTTTAACTTGGAATCCCGGGTCAGTTCCAGTTCTCTTAATCCCACACCAGTAAGTGTCTTCATCGTCTCGCCTGAGCTCCTCCATGGTCACGGTGAATGTGAGGTTTCTCTGATCGTCCCTGATGGACACACGGTCCTGCTTCACCTCCTGCTCTGATCCAGTGGTTATAACAAGGATCTTGCAGCTAGCCCAATCAGCTCCTCGACACCACCACTTCCTGTAGGTCTTCCATCCTTGGCCATAGCAACACCGCACAGTCAACGAGCCCCGCTCTGGACCTCTCATCACTTTTGGACCCCTGATGTCAAATGAGCCTGGAAAACACAAATCCATGTACCTGTCACCTCCTCCCTTGAAGGCAGGGCCACGGCATCCTGCATTGCGAGTAGCTCCAATAAATCCAAGCGCCTGCTGAGGTGAATAGCAGTCGAGGAAGGAATGCACTTTCCACAAGACAGACCTTTTGTCCTTCAAAATTCTACTGGTAAAAACCACCAGGAAAACCACCTAAGAGCACAACTACGGACCTCAAAGACACAAAAATGTGGACACTGAGCAATACTAGCTTCCTGTAATTCACCCTCTCCCCAATCTATAGCCGATAAATCTTTATATTCCCAGCAATGTCCTTTTGCAGCCATCTCTGTGTTATGCTGGTCTGATGGGGAGGAAATACCAGAGGATCCATTTCCACAGGAGAATGATTGCTGCCCTGACTTTGCACTGATGACCTCAGGAGGTTCGGCCAAAGCATCCACATCACGTGGCTGTGGAAAGGTTGTTCCTAGTGGTTATGCTGTAGTCCACCACCCTGGCAGGAACGCCTTTGAAGTTGACCAGAACAGTGATGCTAAATGGTCTCCATGTGCTATAGAATGCATATCACACAGATCCTATTTTCTCCATTGAATAGCTTTGGTTCCTTTGTCAAAAATCAAATAAGTGAGTTATTTATGCATTTTCCATTCTTTTCCATTGATTCATCTGTCTGTCCTTATGCCAATCCATATTGTCTTGAATACTACAGCTTTGCCATAAGGCAGGTGCTGTAGAGTGAAGCAGCATTTTCTTATGATATATGTTCTTGTTCTTTCTTTCATTTTCTCACCTCTGAAAGAGTCAGGATACAGGGAAATGTTTCTCTACTGTAAGAGAAACAACACTCCAAGCATGATGAAAACTGGCGCTGACACTAGGCCTCAGCAATAGACACTGGGACATGGTGAAGACCTCAGCAATCTGGAAAGCAAATGACCCCTGCACAGCCCCATTCCACTGCAGCCCATTGTGCTCATGCAAGAAGTGGGCCATGTGGTTTCAGACCTTTTCATTTTTTTGGAGTAGCCAGAAATCTGAATTTTGTGTGGAACCTCTCAATTTTAAAGACTGGCTTAACTAGGAACAACAACAGTGATGCAGTGCAGGCCACACAAACCCTGTCTGCCTCTGAACCTGGCTGTCAGTGCTCAACTCCAGATCTATATTCAGACGTAAGGCCCTTTCCTGTCATTTTTTCTGTGCTGTCTTTATCAGGGTTTGATATTAGAGACATGCTAGTTTCACCTACTTTTGAATTGCCTTCCTTCCCTTTGAAGTCCTTGACTCTCTCCACCCCCGACATCTTTTGTCTTTAGCTGAGGATGGCATTTAAGGGGAGGGCTTTAGCCATTTTGTCAAGTTAATCTGCTTTCCTGGGTTTCTCTCGTGTGTACATGTTATTAAACTTTTGTCTGTTTTTCTCCTGTTACTCTGTTTCATGTCAACTTAATTTTAGGCTAGCCAGAAGAACCTTGAAGGGTAGAGGGAAATTTCTTCCCCCCATACAGTACTTACACAAACCTAGATGGTATAGGCTACTACACAACTAGGCCATATGGTACTAATCTTATAGGACCACCATTGTATACACAGTCCATCGTTGACCAAAATGTCATTATTCAGAGCATGACTGTATATCTCTCTGTATATATCAGAGATATACAGTCATGCATCCCTTAACAATGGGGACAGATTCTGAAAAATGTGTCATTAGGTGATTTCATCATCGTGCAAACATCATAGAGAGTACTTACACAAACCTAGAATGTATAGCCTATTACACACCTAGGCTGTATGGTACTAATCTTATGGGACCACTATCATATATGTGGTCTGTCATTGATTGAAATGCTATTAGGTGGTACATCACTGTACTAGAGATTATCTGAAGAGATGAACAGATGAGAATTTTTAGCATTTTAAAGATGAAAAATGAGAAAGGACTTACCCCACCAGATATTAAAACAACATCAGCCCATAATAAAGAAACCAGCTTGGAAATCTAATGAGAATAGATAAACATATCAATAGAATAGAGTCAATAAGCTGTAAACAGACCTAGTCTATTGAAGAAGTTCACACACACCACAGAAGACTATAAAGCTAAGTGAGGAGGGAAGGGTTATGGCATAAGCATTGCAGGATACTGTCACCTCTCAGCAAGCTACACTTAGGTAAATTCAGGGAGTTTAAGGAGGTCAGCATAAAATAGCAAATCATTTTTTAAACTAGAAGAAAATAGACGTGAATCTTTATAAAATCTCTGAATTAAAGGGAGAACTTTCTAAACTTAAAATTAATGGGCAACACCCCCAGGATTGTGCATGTGAAGGAAAGTGCATCTCCTCCCACCTGGTACACCAGTTTGGCCAGTCAGCCAGAGTAAGGTACCCTCACAGAGTACCTGCACATATGTTAGTAAAGCAGCAACTACAGGCAGGCAACTGCAGAAGGCCCTTGCCAGCATTGATACCAAAGGACAGGCACAGCTTCCAAGGATCATGGTGGGTTCAGAATACATAGCTCCTGCTCACCCCCCACAGTGACAGCAGGTGGAATCTGTGACCAGATACTACCAATATGCAAAGGCACAAATCCACCCCAGCAAATAATATGAGGATGTATATTAATACTCCAGACCAGAAGGAAAATGACAAGCACCCAGAAGTCAATCCTGAAGGCACAGAAATTTACAATCTAAATGACAGAGAATTCAAAATAGCTGTAAAAGAACTCCATGAGTTACAAGAAAATTCAGAAAGACAATTCAATGAAATCAGGAATAAAATTAATGAACAGAAGAATTCTTCACAAAAGAGATTGAAACTATAAAGAAAAACCAATCAGAAATGTTGGAGATGAAAAACACAATGAATGAGATAAAGAAAAAACTGGAGTCCTTGAATAACAGAGCTGATATTATGGAGGACAGAATTAGCAATTTGGAGGACAGAAACATAGAAATGCTTCAGATGGAGGAAGAGAGAGAGCTAAGACTAAAAACAAATGAAGAAATTATCTAAGAAATATGTGACTCAATTAGGAAATGCAGCATAAGGATTATAGATATTCCAGAGGGAGAAGAGAGGGAGAAAGGAGCAGAAAGCTTGTTCAAAGAAATAATAGCTGAGAACCTCCCAAACCTGGGGAAGGAACTGGAACTACCAGTAAAAGAAGCCAATAGAACTCCTAACTATATCCATGTAAAAAGACCTTTTCCGAGGTATATATTAGTAAAACTGGAAAAAGTCAATGACAAAGAAAAAATATTAAGAGCAGCAAGGCAGAAGAAAATAACTTACAAAGGAACCCCTATCAGGCCTTCAGCAGATTTCTCAGCAGAAACCTTACAGGCTAGGAGAGAGTGGAATGATATATTCAAAATTCTGAAAGATAAAAATTTTAGCCAAGAATACTCTATCCAGTAAAAATACCCTTCAGATATGATGGAGAAATAAAAACTTTCCCAGATGAAACAAAGCTGAGGGAGTTCATTGCCACAAGACACCCCCCACAAGAAATGATCGAGAAGGCCCTCAAATACCTGAAAAAAAAAAAAAGCATTTACAAAGCCTTGAGCAAGGAGATAAATAGGCAGAGAAAATCAGAAAATTGCAGCTATCAGTACAGGTTAGCAAACACTTAATTATAACATTAAAGACAAAGGGAAGGAAAACATAAAAAAAAACTATAATCTCATTATTTTAACCACAAACTAACAACACAAAATGGAATAAGTTGTGACAATAATAACTTAGAAGGGGAAGAGAAACAGGATGGAACCCACTTAGACTAAGGAAATAAGAGGTTAACAGAAAATGGACTATCTCATCTACGAGATTTTTTTTACACAAACCTCATGGTAATGACTAAACAAATAATCAGAACAGAGACACAAATGATAAATAAAGAAAAAACTGAGAAAACCACCATAGAGAACTACTTAATTGAATTGGTAGTCCAAAATACATGGGATGAGAAACAAGAGAAATACAGAACAACTGGAAAACAAGTGATAAAATGGCATTGTTAAGCCCTCATATATCAATAATCACTCTAAACATAAATGGATTGAATTCTCCAATCAAAAGACACAGAGTAGCTGGATGGATTAAAAAACAAAATCCAACAATATGCTGCCTTCAGGAAACACATGTCAGCTCTAAAGACAAACACAGGCTGACAGTGAAGGAATGGAAGATGATACTCCAAGCTAATGGCAAACAAAAGAAAGAAGGTGTTGCCATACTTATATCAGACAAAACAGATTTCAAGACAAAAAAGGAGATAATGACAAACAAACACACAGCAACAGAGATTGGACTGGTGGTTACCATAGAGGAGGAGGGAAGGGCAAAAGGGGTGATTAAGCACATGTGTGGTCATGGATTATAATTAGTTTTTGGGTGGTGAACATGATGTAGTCTACACAGAATTTGAAATATATTACAATGTACACCTGAAAGTTAAATAATGTTATAATCCAATGTTACTGCAATAAAAAATAAAAATTAAATAAAAGATTAAAAAGGCAATGAGAGACAAAGAGGGGCAGTATATAATGATAAAAGGGACACTCCACCATGAAGACATAATACTCATTAATATACATGCACCCAACACAGGAGCACCAAAATACATAACGCAACTATTAACAAACCTGAAAGGAGATATTAACAAAAACACAATAATAGCAGGGACCTTAACACCCCACTTACATCAATAGATAGATATCCAATAGAAAGTCAACAAGGAAATAGTGGAATTAAATGAAAAAGTAGACCAGACGGACTTAATAGATAGATATAGAACTCTCCATCCAAAAACAGCAGAATATGCATTCTTCTCAAGTGCACTTGGAACATTCTCAAAGATAGACCATATGTTGGGAAACAAGGCAAGCCTCAATAAATTTAAGAAGATTGAAATCTTATCAAGATTCTTTTCCGACCATAATGCTGTGAAACTAGAAATCAACTACAAGAGAAAAGTTGGG